GAGGGGGTGAGAAGGGGGAAGGAAATTGGCGAAATAGGATAAAATAAAGTTTAAAATAAATGAAAATTTCTTAAATCTAAATGATGTGTCTTGACGGCAGGACATATGTATTTTTGTTTAAGTTTTTGGGTTTCTGGGGCTGAATGAGAATTTAGTTCTCGCATTTTAATAGTTACACAAAAATTGAACGAACGAGGTCCATTTAAAGTCTTGACCTTGATCCCGTATGGGCGCGGTAGATTCTGACTCAAAAACTTGGGACGAGAGCAGAAGAACCGCGTTTCGGGTTAAAAATAGTGCTGCTAAAACTTTCGAAACGTCTCTCATCGAATCGTACTGTAGAAAGGCCGACGAACAGCAGTCCACTGCTGATGAGTGATGCGGCAAAGACCGGATCGATGCGTAGTCATCTGGTTCGAAATGATGACTGATGGCACGTTGGTCATCGAGGGCGAAGCTGCCAGAAGGTAATGTTTGTTCTTTCTTCACTCCTGGCAGCTGGATCAATCAGCGCCGCACCAATCCAGCCGAGCGCAGTCACCGCAGCAGGAGGACGGGAGCAAGCAGGCGCCGTCGGAAGCCGACTTGTGTCTCCTCCAACCCGGGTCGAGCTTGAGCTTGACTACGTCTTCAGCCCTACGCAACACACTTCCGGCATCACCAGGGTCAGCGAGCGAGTCCTCCCTGAGTCCACCTGTTGACGCTACGACAGCCGCCCGCTACCGGCGTCAACTCATGGAGAACGTGCACGAGGCTCAGCTGCCAGATCCTGGGTTGACTCGTCTGGAATCTGGCTCCCATTCGCCTTGGAGAACCAGGTTACTCTCTTCCACGACGGATCGCGATTCCAGCGGGACCAGGAGGGAGACCCAGTCCACAGCATTGGCGTGTTTGCAGAGCCCACCGAGCAACGAGCCGGACAGCGACGTGGAACCACCGTCGCCGAGTTCCAGCGAAGGACGAAGTATTGAACCCCCTTCTGCTACTGATCATGACGGAAATCAGACTGATGATCAAAAATTGGACGAGAATTCTGTCGATGAACCTTTCGCCATTGATACTCCGCCAGACAATCTGACCCCGACGCCGGTCTCCGATGTGGCGCCGAACCAGTCGCAGGAGAGGAAACCCAGCGGTGGAACGTCGACGGTGGAAGAGGACCCCGACGCTGTCCTGCGGCCCGATCCGACGGATTTTCTGTTCATGTCGGCTGCCTCGGGTTCGTTCTCCAGCCAGCATGAGGTCCAGCAGCCCAACGAGCCTCTGTTGCCCCCGATCCCGACCCTAGACCTCGAGGAAGACGACCGCACCGCGGACGATTTACTTGATCTCAAGTAGGCGCACAGCGTTCATCTTTTGTGATTCCCGGTTACCATGCAGGCATTTTACGCGCATTGATTCGGACGACGTAAGGCAGAGGTTTGCTGTAAATTTTTGCCAGTCCTTTTTTGAAAGCTACACGCAAATCTCACGTCTGCGGTCGAACGATCCTTTGATTTCGCTACGCTTCGGACTGATTCCCGGCTGCACATCTCCGTAAGGCCGGGTTTTAAGCAAGTACCATCATTGAACATTTTTCATGGCACCGACGTTTTCTCCCTCTGGTAAGCCAGTCTGAAGCACGTTGCTGTGTCCGCGCGGCGGACGGGGAGCCCTAGTGTTGTGCGCCCGACCAAAGGACTTATTCAAAGATCAGTGACCAAAGACCTGCGACGACGGCAACAAGCTAGTAAAGATTTCGTACGTCTGGAATTGTTGTTACATATCAATCGTGGTTCTTGCAATCTATGCTCTCTTCCAAAGTTCTGTTCGGGGATTTTTTACGGTTTTTGCATGCCCCGCTAGCCTTTAACCAGGCAGTCGGAAGGCCATAAATACAGAGTATTTGAATCGTCTTCGTCAAGTTTGACCGAAGTTTGGTACAGGTTGGAGAGTCCTTGAAGTGCGTTTCCTGCTAAATTCTTTTCCTCGGATTCGAATACTCATCAGTATTATGTTGAACATGTTGATCTGGTTTTATGAACTACGCTTTAGACGCGGATTGTCAAAACTATTTCTTTTTCGTTGTTTCGTCTGTCACTATCGTTCTGTCGCCGCAGGGTGCGGTTTGAGACCGTCATTCGCCCGCCAATTGAAAACCAGCGGCAGGGATTTCATCTTTCAGCATTGCCTTAATTCGGGAGGAACGAAATGCGACTCCCTTCTCGTTACTCCTTGTTCACTGTTGGTCTCGTACTTTTTTTCATATCCAGCTTCGCTGATGTTGCAGAACGGATTATTTTTGCAAAGTGATTACACAGCAGGCCCCTGATGTGACTTGATGCTGTAATGCTTTCCATCGAGATTGTTGTGAGGTGGAAAGAATCGAAATGACACTATGTTGCCACGCAGTGGCTTCTCACAATGAAACCGCCGATATACTGCCATGTTACGATGCACTGCCGTATGATGGAGATAGTGATTTTGACTTTTGTTGCAAACGGGATGTTCTTGAAACAGACATGCCCAACCAAGTCGGGGCCTGGCGGCGTTTCTGTATCTTGATCGTGGGGATATCGATGTAATGCGCATAGGAAAATTTGTTGTTCCTTGTTTCTTCACGGAAAATACGCGACATTGAATTTGAGAATAAAATTACTGATGATTCATTTTCGAGTTTTCCATGCAGCACCCGCGCGAACTGCAAAGTCGTTGAGGAAACGCCCGGTTGCATGCAATGCTGGCGTAGTGGAGGAACCTCCGAAGAGGGAATGTCGGGAGATTTATTTTCGTTGAAAAAAAACATTGAAAGTTTGGGGAGAACACGAAAAAACAACAGAAGACACGAAATAGTACAATTACCACAGAAGGGAGACAATTTTGCACGGGAAGATTGGCACCAAGCGAGAAACAGCTGGAGTTTTCTTCCGGATGAAACATGAACATAATTATTGAGGAATTGCGAAGAAGAATTTATACCCAGTTTTAAAAGAACGTACATCGATAAAAGGAACCAGAACGAAGAATAAGCTGAACTGAATATATCTTGAGACGTACCATATTTTAGGAAAAGAGCACGAGGTCAATGCTGTTTCTGTCGGGACCTTTTGCATCCGATGCGCATTTATTCCTCAACCAGCGAGATATGTGCGCCTTCGTGAGGGTAGACTTATCCTGTGATCTTTAGCACACAAAAATCTGCTTCTAGTAACAACACGAGCAGCGTGTAAAATATTTGGACGATTGTATGATTTCTTCAATTACAGTATTTACCACTTGAATAAAAAAATCTGAAGATTTCGGATAATGTCGCATACATTTCAACACATCAAAAGCGCAGGATTCAGCTTCAGATAGCGCAAAACAGAGTAAAGCAAGCATTTCTGCATGAAAAACGTACAACTGTTCGCGATCATCGACAGAAATCGCTCAGTTCGAAACGAATTTCGGACAGTCCCAAGAACCTCTTCTACATTACTACAGAATGTCAAAAGCTAGAAGTACCGTCCAACTTTTTAAAGATGGAGCCTACCGACGTTCATTTTGCATTTCTGCTCGAATCGTATACCTACTTACAAGCATCCATATCGAAAAAGAACTCAATTTTCTACGTTTTCTGAATTCGAAAGCATTTTCGCTCAGACTTCAAATATTCACCGGTGAGCAAAATAAGCATTCATAACCGCGAAAGCTGCCGTTCAACATGCAGTAATTTGAATCGAAGACTCTGCGCGCTCATATAGCACATGAATATTTTAGAATGAATCTGATCCACACTGAATTCTACGATAGACACTTTAGAAAATTAACCCAAGGACGGCGCAAAATTTCTCTCACCGTAGATACGAACAGCATAAATTGACAATTCTAAGCATAGTTACCCCAATCACAATGAAACCAGAAAGGGCCTCCACCGGACGATTTCCATCACGACGACGAAGCAGCGAGCTGAAAGCCTATGATGAACGTGCATACGGCAAGCAAAAAGATCAAAGATGCGGTTCATTCGCACCACTGCACAAATGTCACACGATAAATTGAATCCTGCCTCGAATCAATTTACAAATGCGGCTGAAGGCGCATGCTTCCTGTTCGATTTCCTTAGCCGATGATCTTGAGGAGCGCTTCTTCGTAGTCGCCGCGCGTGTCGGCAGCAACCCTTTCCGCCAACGGAATCTCGTATTTAGCGGCGTACGCGGCCTTGATATCCGTCAAGTCGATTTCCGAGCGCCCGACGATGATCCTGATCAAGATGTTGTCCCGGGTTCCGGCACCCTCCATTGCCAAGTTCAATTTTCCTGCATAATACCCGGCCGGGTCGCGAACAGCGCTCACTAAAACGATGAAAATCGAATTGCAGTAAGAATTCGCAGTCTGATCTTATTCACGTAATTGAAGGAAATTTGAAATTTAGGAACGCATCAAGATGTAGAGCAGCCCTACCCGAGAGAAAAAAAAAAAACTGCTTCAAACATCAAACAATCGGAAATTTTCGAATGATATGCGATGCCATATCATCGATATTAATCGCTGCCTTTTTGTCTGCAAACCGTCATATTTGAATGACGTTAGGGTCAATATGGCCTTGGTCAACATTTCCTTTTATACCTATGCTGAAACACGTCACATTATAAGAATGAATAACTTTATAAAAAACATAAATCACGAAGGGAAACCTTGCGTGTTATTTTCCTCTGACAAGATTTTGGTCTACTTCATTCCTTTTCATTGTATTGATTTTTGTTGAAATGCATTTCCCCTTTTGAAGAAAGACAGATAAAAGTGTTGCTAAGAGGTTTTTCAAGCTACCCTCGTTCGAAATTTTTCGAAAAAATATTTTTCATAACGTTCAAACTGTAGATTCGCACGGAATTTTTCTCGCCAGACGGATTTAATTAGCGCCGTCACGTGAAAAAAGCCCCTATATTCTGCCTATAGCGAGTAATATTTTAAAATCCATTGATTCCCTGGGTGAATCCAAGTTATCTAACGAAGCGTTAACAACTGCAAACCACTGGATCTCAGAATTTACTTCCAACTCTCTTCCACGGTAGATCTTCATTAGATCCAACATTCAAGACTAGCATCTTGTTTTTTTTCTTTTGCATGCTAAAAACTATGAACAAAAAATAAAATAAAATAAATTGGCCACCCTCGACCGAATTTTCGACTATGTTCGACAAAAATCATATGAATCATACCGATGGCTAACATGCCAGCCTGAGCATGGCCAGTGAACTCGGCGTCAATGGCTTCCGTGATGTCAGTGCCACTTATCTCGTTGTAGTAACGGAACACTTGTCGCAAATGCGGATAAGAACGGGTGCACAAGATGGCGTTGAACTTGGACTCGTCCGTGCCCCATTGATTCGCGCCGGCGTCAAGCAATTCCTGTGAGAAACGCAGCGAGGAAAAGGGCACTTGAGGCTCAATTAAATCCCTCATTCATGAAACCCGGTTCCGGAAGTACCTGCGCGTCGGACTTAGCCAGGTCCTTGTCGACGGTTCCAGATTCGTCACGACCGCATGCCAGCACAGCACGAACCAGTCGCTGGAATTCGCCCGTGAGTTCCGACTCGATGTCCTCCTCCAAGTCACGCTCACATTCTTAAAAACAAACGGAAACGATGTCGTGATTCAAACGATTCTGAACCAAGGAGGCGGATAAATGTCGCCGCGCCCGCTTCTCGGAATCGCAGCAGGACTATCCCACACGATACTCACTGGCCTTGTAAGCGTTTTTGACTCGTTCCAGTTCTTCGTTAGTGCGACAGCAGAGAATCTCAATCAAGGTATCTTCCTCCGTCCCGGCACCCTGTCGAAGACATCACGTGCGTCACATACAAGGAATTATTTTACCAGCGCAGCATTCCAGAGGTTGAGCACGAAGCGGAATCCGGAAACGACATCGTGGATTCAACAAACCGATCGTCTAAGAATTCAACGCATTCGGAACAATCTAGTCTTAAACAAAATTAATGTTTGCACTCCTCTGATCATAGAAAAAAGACAATCGAACTCGGTGCAAATGCGTTTCATGTTTGTCAGAAAAGTGAATTTTCGATTAAATTCGGTAATTTTTTTTATAGAATAGCTGTGCTTTGTGTGTCTTTCTGCTCTAAATCGGAATATGGGTTCCTGGAGCTTCATGGAAATGTCATCGGAATGTCACAGGAGAATCCTGTTGAGCACGATAAAGATCAAGAGTCAGAGGAAAACCACACCTTCATAGCCCACTGAAGCCAATCAGCCAAGTATTCGTCAGGCGGAGTCATCAGCCCAATAATCACGTCTTGATAGCGGCTCTTCAGCTCAGACTTCAAGCGATCCATCAAGTCCTGACCACGGCATATTCAATTTCAATCCCCGGCGTGGGAAGATGAATTGAAATTTCTCGTCGAGACTCACCTCGCCATACATGGCCAAATATTTTTCCCGCAGGGTTTGTCGCTGGGCATTGCTGATGGAGCACACGACCTCAGTAATATCAGCCTCGGTCGTCCCAAGCCCCTTGCAGGCCTTGTATATCTTTTCGGCCGCACCTTCCACGTCCCAGCCAGGCATTTCAACCACAGTTCCCTGTGAAGAGGGCACAATAAAAACACCACACGCTTCAAAGATCCGCATACAAAGAGAGACCAAAGGCGAATTCCGTTTCCGTGGATTCAAAACGTGCTCGCACACCGTCAACACCGGAAATGAGCCAGCGACGCTGTGAACATGCAGAATGAGTTGAAACGCCCCGCCGAAGCGGCTCACTCGCGAAGCGGTGCAAACGAAACTATTGTTGCCGACGTGGTTCAGCTACTTGGACAACGACCAAAACCAAGCTGCAGCCAAGAAATAAAACGCACCATGCACAGATAAGTTTCTTCGAGGGTGATTTCTTCCCCAGGGAAGCACAAGGAGGACAGGAAAAAAATTATATACGCACGGCGCGAAATCACGCGATGCCGTGAGGGGTGTGTGAAGAAGAATTGCTGGTTTTCCCGACGAAAAGTGAGTGATGCCGCCGGAATACAAGCCACAGAGCGAAAGTTCGGGGTTTAGTCATCGTGCATTGAACCTAGCATCTGTTCATGCCCACCTCGTGGCAGCGATGGCTTCAAGAAGTTAAGGTCCTCTTCAGCATGCGAAATATGTGCATGCACCCGATTTAGGTACCGTGGAATTTCACACGACCCAGACGTATTTTCGAGCCAACGAGGCTTGCCGGAGTTTTCAACCGCATACCGGAACAGTGCACGACGATAACAATTTTAAAAAGCGGATCGCTGTGATCATAAGCTTCATAGCAGTGATCACTTATCAATTAGTTGAAATTCCGCAGAAGTTATTTTTAAAACCTGACGCTCGTAACAGCAAATTCGACCAGCAATTATCATGAGTACTGTACAAGGAGATTCTACGATTTTCTCCGCACAACGTTTTTTCCCCCCATACGGTTCTCTACAACAAATTTTTTTTGGTCCCCTGAATTTCTTCGTAGAGAGAGACCACCTGCATTCTTTTGCTTCAGTTCTAATACTCTCGGCTGCTGTTTCTTCTCCGTGTTGGGAGATCACCCGAAAAAAAAAAATTACGCTGAGAAAAGCATTCATTTCCAAAAAATTTCAATTGTTACCGAAGTTTGTGTTTCTCATCAAAATTCCGTTATTTTCCTGTTATTGCATCGCATTGGGAGTAAATTGAAACTCAATTTATTAAACATCAGGACGGCGTCATACATACGGTAATAATGGGATCCTCTTACCTTAGAATTTTCTAGAACAAATATTATTTGTGCTTTCAATGGCGTGTGTTTCATGGTACAGGAAATTCGAAAGTACAGAATGCAGTGAAATAATGTATATACTGTAGTTGTGAAATAGGACTGTGCTGGCAACGAGATATAATACAGCAGTCGAGGAAGCAGGAGAGACAAAAAGTTTGATCCAGCCGGCAATTTTGTGACGGCTGCTTTTCTCCTGTCAGCCTCTTGTCATCGCGGTCGAAAACAAGGGATTTAATTTACTGTTATCTTTCAAATCAGAACTTGAAATTTAAATCGAGGGGGCAGTTGGTGTAGCAACAAAAAAAAGAAACGAAATCCCGACATGCTCAGTCAAAAAGTGCAGGGTGAAGTCGCGTCACTTTTATTCGCCTTTCTACGCTTCGGGAAGGTCTGAACAATTAACTGCCCAGGGGAGTGCTTCAAGACGAGCAATTTCTGCGGGGATTGCTCGAGGAAGACCGTGGGGCACGATTACGACCATCCCGACTGACGAAACGATCAACTGGAATTCCTGGGAGGCGCATCGCTTCCTCATACGAGCGCCTTCGCTCTGTCCGAGACGTGTTTTTCGGAATTCAGAATCTCCTCCGAGCTCTTGACAGCACGCAACAACGCGTCTCTGCGTCACAACCTAGCCGTCATAATTCAATGGACGGACTCGACCTCGGTCATGCTGTGTCCATGAATATTTTCCACACGAGGGAAAGAAAGCAGCAATCGCAGTTGTTACGTTCGGCTGTATTATTACCCTCTGTTCTGCGATGAAGAAACGCGCAACTGCCGCTCCCTCCTGACAAGGACATCTATGCTTCACTTCTATAGAATTTCGGATCGGAAGTGATCATACAAATTTTTTTTTCAGCATCATATGAAAAAAAGCACCTCCACGCAGAGAAGAGATGGACTTTCGTTCATTCCGGCTAATAATTGAATGTCATTTTCCGGGTAATAAAAAATGTTTCACCGCACAGCGTGAAATTACGAAACTTATCTAGAATTTCGAAAGAGGATAAAATAAATTTCAATCATGTCTACATTGATGAAGATCAGAGCTTCGAAAAACAAAATTGAAGCCTGGCATGGTAGGTACTTCATGACTCAAGTTCCGAGGATGCCTTTGAATGCTGTACTGTATTTGAGTCACGGTTAATCGATTTCGTGGTAATTGTGGCGTGTACAGTCAATGTTCTTCTCCACTTCCTTTTTCATGCAATCCTTTCAATTTTTTCAGTTCTAAGTGAGAACAGTCATTTGATTCGGAACTTTCAGGAGGATTCATCTCTTTTAAAAGTTGTGATTCCACCATTTCCCGATGTAGTTTCGGACCTGAATGTCGTAGTATCAGAGGCTTCAACTGAATGGAACTTGTTCATCAATTAAGTTATTAAAATATAGCTTGACTATTTACCAGGCAGGTATCATTAAGAAACTACAGAAGACGTTCACAAATATAAAAAGATATGCAAAACTTCAAGTGCAATACAAGTACTACACAGCACAGTATTATTATTTAAATGCGAGACAGGAGAAAAGTTTAAGAGTTTTCTTTTACTTTCTTTAATTTTAAACATCCAAATCTCAAGTCTGTTCCCACTGATTTTCATTTTCAGATAGAATAACGCATTTGCAGGCATTCGCTCAATCCCGAAAGCAAATAAATGAATGATACTCTTTATTCATAACTTCAAAAAATGTCTTATAAAAAAATCCACCTCAAAGACAGTTTTATTCCCTGATGTAGAAACAATTTTCATTATAATATTGTACAACATGCATAATATACAGTACTACATATGTTTACACAGTATAAGCACGTAACCTCAATTGGGGATGCTCATGCACTTATATAGTTTTATACCGAATTTCCTTTTTCTGCAGATAATCATAATCCATGTGGATTATGTGCACGTATTCCAAATCTGTAAGAGCTTCTCTATGTGCCATCAGAATGTTACTTTTCAATCATCTTTCTACATTTAGGCTGTCTCTCAAAAGATCCATTAAATTAATAAAAGATTTTTTCACATTACATGAGTGTTTGGAAGCCTGTATGAGGAAGAGCCGTATTATTTATGGGTGCATTTCAGTGTATACACGATACGTGTAAAGAAACGTTCCGGTGTCAACACATGGACATCCTGGGAACGTGACCTAATGAAAATTACCGTCCAAGCCGGTCTGAAGTTTTCGTTACGGCACACGTGTGCTCGAAGCCGTGATTCCTCTAATAGTTGTTGGCTTTTATCTTCATTCTCCCTGATCTTGGAAGTTGGGGTCCTTCCGGTAGGAACTCCGAAGTACATAGTCGGAACATATCACAGAAAAAAAAATTAAAATTTCAGTATAAGGGCGTCAACACAACAACATCGCGTGTTACTCTGTGTGGGAAAGCAGCAGTCCTCCGAACCACGGGGCAATAAAATCACAGGTACAGCTGGTGCGCCCAAAAATGTCACACCCGAGTAGCAAACAAAAATAAAATCTGATAGAGGAGATAAATTTTGTAGAACGACTTTTTTTCAAACCTCGCCCGCAGTCTCTCACTCGGAGAATACAGTATGGAAATATTCTGCATTCCTAAACAGGATCGAACGCGCGCACCATCACGTGGAGATGCGAAAAACACTAATACTTGACACTCAAGTGAGGAAGCAAAATAAGTGAATCAAGTATGAAAGAAAGTGCATCAGGAATGCATGCCTTAAAAGGCTTCGATGGAATATGCGAATGCTTAAAAAATCAGTACCTCAACTTCATTGCCGAAAACCGTAAGCCAGCCCATGTTGATCGACGATCGTGCGTATTGTAATACGGAACACTTCCAGGACCCTGTAGAGCACTGCCACGCGACGGAACCTAAGAACGTCAAGTTTCTCTTACACCGGGTGCTTGAACCAACCAAGGAACCAGACAATGAAAAAATGCAGCACTGTCCCTCTCTCTCCCTCTAACCCAAGTGCGACGAGCCGCCTGCGAGCACGTCCCTTCCATTACACCAGAGACCAGACTGCTGGTCCTCGCCACCAAGCCCGTCGATCTGCACTGAAGTCGGCGAGAACCAGACAGGAACAGACTCATCGGACTCCCTTGCCCCGGGCATGCGGCAAATTCTGAGAGAAAAAGACGCTCACGATCGACGCGCAAACGGCTGGTTTCGGCAGGAAAAGAAGCCGTCCGGACGTATAATCGTGAAATAAATTACAGGATGCTCGGGAAAAAAATTGAGTTCTGTACGCAAAGCCAGACGAGACTTTCTTTTTTTTCTGTCTCGAGGAATTTTTGAGGGGAACTCTTGCCCATCAACTCGATGAAGGCGTGAGAACCACAACCGTCGTCATTTTTCCCACCTTCTTGACGAAGACTAAGCGCCAATCTGGCATCACGGACGTCTCATGCGACCGAACGACCCGAGGCGTTGGATTCAGCGCTGACTCACCCATTTCCAAGTACCAAAATAAATAAAATAATACGACTTCTGGGAACCTCGCAAAACCTGAGGCGTCACATCTCATACCGTGCATCTAGAAAATCTTCCGGGAGGAATGGAATCGATAAAAAAATTTGATTTCGCGGTAGAAGCGTAATCAAAGTTCAAACTGGGAGCAGCTGGCTATCCTCGAACAACTGCCATCGGCAAAGCATAGGGGATGCTTTTTTTTTAGAAGGGATGTTCCATAGATTTGAAAGAAGAAAGAATAATCGCAGACGAATTTTCAGATAAGGAAAAAGCTTTCCGCCTTATTCGTCAGAAATTGTGAATACATTTTCCGAAGGTTCAATTTACTGCATCATACCTCCAATACATTGGCTTGCCTGCTATGGTATAAACTTCTGCAATGGATTTGGGAGCCAAATTTCAAAATGGTTTAGTCTTCAAACCTTTTTAAAACTGCGTCGGTGAATAATTCGTTCAAATAAAGGTCGTATTGATGAGTAATAATAATGATGAACCATCGCAGGTGCTGATCTCAAATGCCTCAGCGTCACAACTTATGGATCATCCCTTTCACTGGGCAGCAGACCATGAAAAGCTGCGGGCAAAAGACTCCTCTTGCCAGCATTCGAGTCCAGTACCGTACTCGCGGGATAATTTGGAGAGAAAGCTATATATCTCCCAGTGCCACGCAGCGAAATACACGTACTGTATACCGTATCAGGAAAAAGCGCCAGTGACTCACACGGAACATAAAGAGGGCCTTTCATGAGCCAAAAGTAACCGCATTGATACTTTTCCCTTCCCCACTAATTTCCTAGATGCTGATGCATACACACCAAGAAGAAAAGTAAGGGCAAGTGATCAATATATTGCGTGCCGCAAAGGATGTATTTCCCTCGGGTCCAAGGTTTTATTTATGCTACATCAAAATCCGAGATATTGCGAGGTGTGAGACATCGATCAAACATATCATACCATTCCTGCCCTATATTCCAGGTTAACGTGAAACTAATCAATTCTGAGATTTACAAATATAGTTCTTTTCCAGAAAAATTGAAAAAAGTCGGCATTAATAAGGTTTGAGGGGGATGCATGAAGTCGGACAATTGAAATGATCGTGATCGATGAAATCAACTTCAAATTCCTCCCTGATTGACACAAAGTCGCTAAAATAAATGTCTGCTCTGTGAAAGCTTTTGATTAAGTAAATTGGGGGAGGAAAGTGGGCATTAAGTAACGCGTGTGCCGAACGTATATTTGAAGTGACAACGTTTTCCTGCGGTTTCAGACCAATGCAGGCAAAAATGACACCTTCGGATGAGTCAATTATCGCGTCCATGACTATCTAAAATTCTAGAAAAATCAGACGCATTTTTGTGCAAGTATTGTACAAAACGCAGCCCTTCTCCTGGTTAGATAAATCGTACAATGCGGATGTAGAGAGGGTGACGGCAACATGGGACGAAGAATTCGATCGGAGCCTCGAAGGAAACTCACCGCGGCTCCAGTAAACGAGGATAGTTTGAGTTCTTCAATATCGGGAGAATCTTCCGAATCCTGCGACAATTCCGCATTAGGGCCGACAATTTCGGGCGAAGGTTGGCCGGCAGGAACGAAGGCCTCTGGGTCATCCGAATTGGCATCGCTGGGATCCCCTAATTCTTCAAACGGACTGCTCGGAGCAGGCTTAACATCTTCGGCGTCAGGCTCTGATTCGATACGATTCGGTTCTATGGGGCCGACCAACGCTTCCGGGGTCTCAACCTTGGGCGCCTCTGTCCCAGGGGCTTCGGGTACAACAGGGGCACGGTTTTCAGCATCAGAATGATCCGGCACCTCCACACCGGTCCCCTGTTCAGTTACATCCTGCTCGCCTTCCCCCTCACTGATGGGCTGGGTTACTCCTGCTGAGCCACCGCCCCACACGAAATTATAGATCTTACACAAAATTGTGTATATGATGATTGCAGGAAGCTCGAGCATTTCGGAAGAGAACCCTACCCTCGGAACCGACACAGAGGATCAGTCATTCGGTTGTCACAAGCAACGAAAAAGCCGCAAAGAGAAGGCGAGGAGAGATTAGAGGAACGGCAGATCCGAAACATTTTTTGGATTCGCACAACACACAGCATCTCCGACTTGAACTTTAGACTTACTGCTCGGGTCGACAGAAGCTGTCCCATTTTTCCTCGTAGACAGAAGCTCACTCACCTCAGCACCAAGAATCACTCGCCGACACTTCCGCGCGTAATGAAATTGGAATTTTAGTTTCTAGACGAGCTGGTCTTATTCTTTTTTCAGGGAGTAGTGGAGAGTTACTGGACAGCCTGAAAGCTTAGGCAGAAGAGTGAGTAAGGTTTTTTCTGCGAAGAGAGCCGCAGTTATCACTTGAATCAGCTTCAACCGAATGGCGTAAGGCTCGCAGGGAGTAAAACGCGCATTCGTGAGTAGCAGTACCAGATTCGAACGCGGGAGAGAGCGACGGGCCCGACTGCCAAGAATACTTCGTTCCGCATGCAGGGGCACCGAGGGTCGCGCGCAGACAGACGCATCTTATTTCTGGTAACACACGCACCTGTTAGCAAGTTAGATTTTATTTCTGACTAGGAGCAATAAAAAAATGCTGCTCTTCGCCCAGGTACGGTTTCCGATTCTGACTGATTTTCCTCGCAATCGCCGAATAATATTCTGGTGTTCGCCCCGCTTCCCCAATGCGTGGATCATCCGGCACTTTTTCGGACAGCAGCGAACGGTCGGCACAGTTCGCTCAGTCTCTGTTCATGACGCACGACTCTGTCTCGAATCAGTGGTGCGTCAGGCTCACACGTGTTATGATTGCTTGCGAAGGTACTAAATCAGAGCAAGATGCCGGAGATAATGTCACTATTCCCATGCAGAGGGCTTATGGCTTAGGTTCTAGTTCTAGATCGTCTCACGCTGTTCCTTCCTACCCGCCGCGAAAATCTACATGTGCGTTACACCTACCGATCAATCGAAGGGGAATTTAGCATTAAATAATCTACCAGTATAACGGATAATTGCTTGGAGAAATTCCAAAACTATATCGAAAACAAGCCAGTTCACGTTGTCAATATCTGTTCGTGCCGAAATGCGCCTCATAGCTGATGAGAGAAAAAATTTCGCAGCTAAATGAGCGATCCTTTCAATTTTTCTTTGTTTTCATTCTGGTTTATCGTTTCAGAGAGCAGCCGAATATGTAAGTGTACAGTACTTCGACTTTTCTATGAAAAAGTCGTGCGGAGTATTTGTTAGCGACATCTATGATGAACATATTAATATTTCGTTGCGGGATGCGATAGTCATCGCATTGAATCTATACATGTTTTACAGTAATTACTGCGCAGTATTTAGAACTTAGTACTTAGAACTTAGTACTTGGAAGTCCTAGCTGGCAACTCGAGCAAGATCGTTGACGGTGCTAAAATCAAAAGAATGCGCGATTCTTCGCGTTATCTTTATGCAAAGAAATAAAAAACAATCCCATAACAGATTCAATAATTTTGAAAGCTGTATTCGCCGAACTCGTGCCATGCAATGCGCGGGACAAGACACTCATGGTTACTCATAAAATTCGTTGGAGACGTGTATCTGATTTTTGAAACAAAGAAAGACAGGCCTGAGGCCAAATCTTCAAGGATCGTTCTGACGAACAACCTTCTCAATTGTGCTCGGGGTTCCCGAGCGCAAATCGACGACTTCTGAAAGTAGTTCCCTGTCACCTGGAATCGCATTCGATTCTGTGCTTGCAGCATTCGTCACCTTCGGGGCTTCCGTGAACATGTCCACTCCCTTTCAGAAATTTAATTCGATTAGGTATACAGTTTTCACTGCGACTCAGCCATTGCAGGTCACCTGTCTGATGACGCCTTCGACCGAGTTATACGCTGTGCCAATGGCTTGCCCAACTGCATTACTGACGTTTTCCATGAGGTCCTTGTCAACCGTAACCTGGAAGTTCGGCTTTTCGCAGCCCACATGACTGACCTCATCTGTCTTAACGCCAAGTGGCGTCAACTCTTCTTGAGCCTTCCCAGTAAAAAAGAATATTATTGTAGAGACAATATGTAATTATCCAAATTTATTTTCAAGCGAACCTTATGCATCGCTTCGGGGTTGTTCCAATCGACATCGCGCGTCAAGATCGCACCTGACCTCCGGCTAACACCTAATCCCAGCAAATTAGCAATGTTTTGACACTCGAAAATGACTGCATAGTTCTCGTAGTCCGTGTCTACGACGACGTAGTCCCCCTTTCCAGCGACATCTGTGAAAGCATTCAGCTGTCACAAAATTCAGATTTACGGTGACGACACACGCGCGTCTACCTAAGCCAATGTAGTGCATAGCTGATCTATTTGTCTCATTTTTGGTTTTTACAAAATGCACGGTGAATGACTCTGGTCAAGGTTGGGTTTCGCTCTTCGCTTCTGAATTCTAACATATCCAATCTTTATTTGCTTCCTGCATAATAGGCTAACTTCGGACTCTTCGACTTCTGCGGCTTTATCGACACGGAAGACGCTTGCATCATGCATGCATCACTCGGAAAAAAGCTGGAATGGGTTTTCATGATTGGCATTTAAAGTAATGATTTCTCCAGGCGGGAAAAACCTTGAACTTTTCTGCCATGAAATGAAATCCATGAAATTCTACAGCCGCGTTTTTTTGTTTGTTCTGTAAAGGCGGCATGTTTATCTTCGATTGTACTTCACAGGTTTCTCAAGTCTGCGTGACTGCCACGTGACTCATGCGTGTTGTGGCAGAAAAAAGAACAGGAGGGAAGTGTTGCATCGTGACTGTGCACGAGTACTACGCGCTGCTAAACAACGATGTTTTTCTCGAGATGATGACGAGATTAACAGTGTAGTTGTTCCGCCAACGCACGGGAACTCCAAGTACGATAGCGGAGAAGTGGTTCACAATGGATTTACTCACTCAACCTGAATTTCACCCGCATCTTCGCCGGAGATGCATCAGGAACAGACAAGTACCCTTCATGCTCCAAATTCGACTGAACGCCGATTGCGTCGAGAGGAAGCCAGTCGCGGCTCTCGACAACTCTCCATTCTCCTTTTGTGAAGAAATAGCGGTTCTTCAGACAGCTGCTGTACGTGCCAGTCTTGCGTTTCACGAACCAGCTTCCGGTGAACTACCGAAATAGAAACCACAGAAGAATGAATGAAGAGGAAGGAAATTTCAACCATTTCCCGAGCAGTTCCAAGAAATGCAATAAACGTCAAGAGATCACGTTCGTGCTGCGGTCAACCAGTTCAGTGAAGCAGTTCTGCTTCAGTTACCCACCGAAGGACAATGGATTCAGTTATGTAAGTTCGTAGAAACCGACGTTCTTCTGGATTCTTCACGGTTCCGTGAGTCTAATGAAGTTTCCTTCCTGCATGAGAATCCAGTCAGGCCCCTCTTATACCGTGATTCAGAAAAGGAAAAAAAAACTCCAGAGACAGACGCAGATCATAAATACGTTACATACGGTAGTACAGTACACCTCAAATCATTTCATGGACTATCTTTAGACCAGCTTTCAATAAATTCATGAGCAAGATGTCATCGATTGACATAGGTGTCACTCAGGAATATTCGAAATTAGAATTGCTTCTCTGAAGTTGTAAAAAAACGGGGGGATGTTTCCAAGTACAGTACAGCAGATATTTATGAGAAGATTGTAAGTTTGTAACATCTGTTCCGACAAGACTGAACTTGACGCACCCGAAGTACAGTATTATGTGCAATTTTGCAGCGCGTCGTAGGACTCTTTTCACTAAATTTTCCCAGCTTGAATAAAAGCTTTAAATGCTCAACGTTTATTGCTACCCAGCACTCCTGGTTAACGATTAACAACGGTATTTAAATAGAATAAAGAAAAAGGCATAGAATTGTTTTTAAAAAAATGTTACACATCTTCTATTTCATCACTTGCTGAGAAGCTACAATGCACCTCCAATTCCCACTGAACTGCTCATTTGTAGGCATTAGGGAGATGCTGCGCCAAGGTGCTCAAGCACAGTAAAATAAATAGAAAATCCGTGTCCTAGGTCGAATAATTTGGGGAAAACCCGATGTCAAATTCAAAAAATTCGGAGAATCTTCAGAGATCTAACCTTTTCTATGTCAAAATTCGGCATGTACGGCACCGAACTAGGACAAACTCCTGTGACCCATTCGTGACCATCAACGACGAACGCGCACAACAACGCGACGAACAAAATAACTGGATTGCACGACATCTCAGGATCCTTTCTGTGATTAAAAACATTCTCTTTCGCTAAACTGAGAGCCCTTCACAAATCCGATACGGAAAGAGCAATCCACGAGTACTGACATACTGAAATATGCGTAGATTCCCTGCACTGAACGGCCTTCGTTTCGCGGTGGTTTCTCTCGACACTATCACAGAATCAGGGGTAAAAAAAAAAAAAAAGTGGAATTCCGGGTAACGCAACCCGAAGAGTCCCTTTGTCGCGTGAATCTCACCGAGACGACGCTTTTTCCCCCCCTTTTTTTTTTTCCTCCGCTGCTCTCACTACTTCGTTTCGATCTCGAAACTACGCCGCGAGGGAAGCTCGAAGATGTCAAAACCAGCAGCTCTGTCACGGCGAGTTCACCCGGCACCCGACTCGCTCACACGCGCAGCGAAGACTCCATGCGCTCGCCGACCAACGCGGCCACCTCGCTGCGACGGAGCCCGTATCCCGATCGCACCGCTCTGCTAGGGGGCATTCAAAACGGGTCCCGTTGTCGGTGGGAAACACGATGAAATTCAGTGGTAATAACCTCTGGAGGTGGGTGCACGAACAAAGTAAGCAATAGCAGAGCAGATCTGAATCATTCTCAGGAACGCCGAGCGCTGTTACCGATGCCGCGCATTGTTCTGTCCATATTCGCTGCGGCGACGTGAGCTACTGTACGTCTGTACCCCACATCATCCAAAATTGAGACAGGTATCTTACCGTGCAGTGCAGTATAATACTGCATTTTAATTTTCCTCCGTTAAATTTGATAAGAAAAGCCTTACCTTGAGACAACATGGGCTGTTTGAAAATAATGTAACCAGATGATTTATTCAAAACGGTTGGGCTTCATTTTTGGGAAACACGTTGGCTTCTGCCTCTTTTAGATTGGTATGAAGCGGGGTTGAGTACTTGTCTGAAACGGAAAGGAAGGTGAATTCATTTTTATTTGATGCACTGAACAGCACGTATGCAGAGACAGCATTAGAGTTTCGCACGAACGGGGAGGAAAAATATCTTCCGAGAATAAAACTCACGTACAAATTCTTTTCCCAAAATTATGATGATTAAAATCTCGGCGCATTTCTCAGAATTATAACTCGAAATTTAGATTGCTGACGCTTCTGGTCAATTACATTGCTTTCACGCCGAGAAATATTTTTAGCATTTCAATATTATCTCGAAATATGAGAACGCATTTTTCTCGCATTTTTAAATGTATTTTTCGCATAAACAGCATTGGTTTTGTACGCGTACCATGCGAGGAGGTTTATAAGTAACTACCGCTTGATTGCTTTTCAAAATCTCAATTACACAGTTATAGTACTGTACTGTATTTTGTTTCGTAGTCGGAAAATATGTAAAATATGAACTCTCGATGAAATTCAAATAACTCTCGGGAAATATCCGGGGTTGTTAGTCTGTGGGACTGGCGACTCCCCCCTCATGACCTTTAGAAATTTCAATCCGTCTCATTTGACCCGTAGCAAAACCGCAGTTTATACGAGGCATTCCAGTGCCGTTTTAACTTCTGCCCTTTTCATGCTTTACGGCTAATGCACATTGCAAATAAATCTGGCGCTGACGATTTAGCTCAAGCGCAATTATCCCAGCTTTGCTTTCGCACGTGAACGCAAAACTCGCTTCATTTAATACAGCTCATTTTGCCCGGTTCTGACGCAAAATGGATGAGATAGAATTTTTGCAACGGAAGGCAAATTGGTTACGGGTAGATTACATGCGTCACGCTCACACGGATGAAGTTGACAACCTCATCGGAAACCTGTCATGAAACTGACACTTCTCTGGTTTCATTTCGCGGGAAATAGTTCCCGTTTGTATCTCCTGTGATCATTTAATGATATAACTTTCCATCAAATGAAATACAGTATCGTACTTGTGTTCGTGGGAAGTCGTTACTTTCGGTGGAGAATGCCACAGCGTCGTTGCTGCATTGATATCCGATGAATTGACGGCCGTGAAGTGAATTGAACGGATAATTGCGTTTCACAACAGATGTCACGTGTCGAGCCACCGTTGCAATTGTTCAATAAATCAATACCATCTCAGTGAGCGTTGGCAAAGTTACGAGGATGCTCGAGATCCTCGTAACGCATCAGGCGAACTATTGCTAGAAATCCAATCACGAACTTGGCAACTGTTGGTGCACTCGGAAGGGAGCCGTCGTCAAGAGGCTCAGGGAAATGAAACTTCTCCTCGTGAGGGGCTGATTAATGATGGGCTTTTTCTCTATGGTTGTACACATTATATACAGTATTTGTCACAGATACTCGAAAACTGCAAAATAAACTTTTTTGTCGGAATTCGATTTTTTGGGACATCTTAAACATTCGACGGTGTCCATCATATCCGATGGTGCAGTGCATGAATCATTCTGAACTGAAACGATCGAATAAAAATTCAAATTTATTAATAAAAGCTAATATCAGAGTCATTTTTGTTACGACAGAGGCGCACTCATTAAAATTCTGATTTCTTCGGGATTGCTTGGGATTAAGCTGGGAATTGAAACATGAGTAGCATAACAATATCTCAATAAGCCTAAAACGTTATTCAATGAATATGTGACATGCTATGACGGACTTTTCCGAAAATCTGGCATCGCATTTCAAAATGTAACCGACATTGGCAGATCTAAAATATCTCGTAGAATACATTTTCGACTTTTTCTTACGAGATACTGTATTTTATTTACGGTAAACCTTTGGATGTGTGTTTGGGTGCTAGTATTGGTGCACGTATGAGATCAAAGCTCTCGTATCTTCTGATTCATCATTTCTGGCTTGCAATACAGTATTCATTTAATCATTATTTATGTATTTAATTTTTAATTAAATCATGCGTAAAATGCAATGCGAGGGCATCGGAGCTGGTCAAGCTAAAATTATAAAGGCCTTGAACATCTCCTGCGTCATCGACTTGAAATTTAGGCCACGGATAATCGGAGGATCTACTCTGCTTTCTTCGCCGCAGGACGGAATTTCCTGCGCTAAAATTACCGCTGCATGATGAAGACAAGCCATCATTCACAATCCCTGCCGTTGAATATGCATTAGACGGGTTGATCAGCATGAGACGTCACTCACTGCTGGAGGGGGAGCTTAAGAAGGGAGAGAAAGCTCAACGTTGCTCCACTGATCAGCGGTTTTGTTCTCAGCCTCATGTAACCCAAGCTGTAAGGAGGTCGGTCGCGTTATTTTCGTCGACGTTGAAACGCTGCTGCGGTTCATCGTCGGCGTCGCGTGCTCACGTGTAGGTGTTATCCCGCATGACGAACGCATCAATCTCTCCGCCGTTTCGCTGCTTGGCATTTCCGCTCGGCGGAACAATAAACGAATAAATGCAAGCGTGTGCTTGTCCTCGACTATGCGATGCGGTACGATTTTTATTGGATATTTTATTATCTGCTACAGCAGTATATACCGCATTCACTCGAAAACAAGACAACGTTGTATGAAAGACTATCCTTTACCCTTTGTACCTTCAATGAGTGCAATTTTGATCCGAAACATGATGTCATAGCATTTATGGAGTTTGTTCCGAACTAGAGGAGTCCGTTCAACATGATAATATGTTCCATTTACACGCTTAACCTCTTAAATTCTTCCGAAAGAAGCCAGGAGGGTAATTCTTGTGGCATGAAACAAAAAAATATTGATGAGATTAAAAAAAAAAGACTTTTGATTTGTAGTCATATTTACAACCACAACACCCTTCACTTTACGCGTGACCCTTTTAAGCTTATGTATTTCCCCTACGCT